GAGAAGAGAGAAGGGAATGTGTTCTAAATTCATCTCCTTCGAATCTTTTTGGTTATTCGTATTTCATCTTGTTTTTTTTGGTTTACCTATCAAAAGTAGTCTTAAGATGGTGCAAATCACCCTCTGGTTCATTTTTTTTGTTTCCTGCCAAAAGATCACTTTAATTCAATAATCAAAGATATTCAAAAATAATTCTCCCAAAGATATTCTATGAATAGAGAATAGTCCAAGATCATTCTAGAATCATATATTCCTAAATATTCTAAGATTAAGAAGATATAGAATAAATTATTCCAAGAATCAATGAAGAATAGATCGAATGAAGAATCAAATGAAGAGATGAATTGAACATAATATCAATAATCTCATTCCGAAGATAAAGGCAAATATAAAAATCAATTATAATTCGAATTTCTTATTTAAGAATTCTCCTGCCAATCAATCCCATCATTCTCCTTCCATCAATCATGAAAATAATTCGAAAATCAATTGTCCAAGAAATCTCAAATCCCTAAACCCTCTTTTGAGACATCCTAAATCCTTAAAAACCTCAATTTATTCGTAATCAATTAAAAATCAAAAAGAATATGAGAAATAGATATCCTCATCAAAATATCCAAGATTACAACAATTTAAAGATTACGAACTTAATATAAATTAATCATGCTATTTCTCAGAAAAATAATATGAAATAGAAATTCTTGATATTAGTATAGTCGACGAATATTCTGAAATCGATTTGTCATTTCACAGATAGATACATAGATATATATGCTCACGCCCCCCCCATGATCCACGTTTCTGCTTCGAAACAGATGGATCTTGGGAGGAGAGGGGGCTATGAGCTAGCGACAAAAACACCGACAGGGCCGATAAAAACCTATATCATTTCAAGTCAGGCAGGTCATTTACATCAACAAGGTAGAAAAATACCCGAAAAAATCATGCTTTTTTAGAAAACTCGAGCCGGCTCGAATTTTCCAAAAAAAACTGACACAGTAGCTTGCCGAAACACGACCAGGCTCGAATTTTCCAAAAAAAACCTAAATTTCAGGATCTATGGCTCCAGCAGCCCGGTAGATCCTGAAAGTTAGGTTTTTTTTGGAAAATTCGAGCCTGCTCGAGTTTCTGGGACCTAAAGCTTCAAGAATTTTAGGAAAATTCGAGCCGGCTCGAATTTTCCAAAAAAAAACTGAAACAGTAGCTTTTCCGACCAGGCTCTCCAGCAGATCTATGGAGCTAAGTTAGGTTTTTTTGGAAAATTCGAGCCTGCTCGAGTTTCTGGGACCTAAAGCTTCAAGAATTTTAGGAAAATTCGAGCCGGCTCGAATTTTCCAAAAAAAACTGACACAGTAGATTGCCGAAACACGACCAGGCTCGAATTTTCCAAAAAAAAACCTAAATTTCAGGATCTATGGCTCCAGCAGCCCGGTAGATCCTGAAAGTTAGGTTTTTTTTGGAAAATTCGAGCCTGCTCGAGTTTCTGGGACCTAAAGCTTCAAGAATTTTAGGAAAATTCGAGCCGGCTCGAATTTTCAAAAAAAAACTGACACAATAGATTGCCGAAACACGACCAGGCTCGAATTTTCCAAAAAAAACCTAAATTTCAGGATCTATGGCTCCAGCAGCCCGGTAGATCCTGAAAGTTCGGTTTTTTTTTGAAAATTCGAGCCTGCTCGAGTTTCTGGGACCTAAAGCTTCAAGAATTTTAGGAAAATTCGAGCCGGCTCGAATTTTCCAAAAAAAACTGACACAGTAGATTGCCGAAACACGACCAGGCTCGAATTTTCCAAAAAAAAACCTAAATTTCAGGATCTATGGCTCCAGCAGCCCGGTAGATCCTGAAAGTTAGGTTTTTTTTGGAAAATTCGAGCCTGCTCGAGTTTTCGAGACCTGGAGCTTCAAGAATTTTCGGAAAATTCGAGCCGGCTCGAGTTTTCTAAAAAAAATGCTGAAACCATAGCTGTGTGACCCCAAGGCCTCATAGATGACATAATTTAGGGTTTTTTTGGAAAATTCGAGCCTGCTCGAGTTTTCGGGACCTGGAGCTTCAAGAATTTTCGGAAAATTCGAGCCGGCTCGAATTTTCTAAAAAATATGCTGAAACCATGGCTGTGTGACCCCAAGGTCTCATAGATGACAGAATGTAGGTTTTTTTTGGAAAATTCGAGCCTGCTCGAGTTGTGGTGACCTGGTGCCTGGAGATTTTTCGGAAAATTCGAGCCGGCTCGAGTTTTCCGGAAAATCTCTTGATATTCTGACTGCGGTAATTGATACAATTAGTAGCATTAGTTACCAATTCTATTTCAATTGGTAAGTTTCCCATATTTTTTGACGGCAAATATCTAACTTGTGAGAAGAGGCCACGCAATGGTTTAAATCCAACAATCGTTTTGGTCTTAAACCCTTGACAATTAACATAAGAACTACCTTTGTGTCAAAGAAAACTTAAACTATCAATGAGGATATCTGCGGGACTAAAAGTGTCCATGATATATAAATAGCATAGATGATTTGATTACATACACATACCTTCAACTTGTATTCAATCAAGTTGCCAGAGACTATAGGGTTCGTAGCCTTAAGCCAGAAACTGCGGGGCTGGAGCGTAATTCAAAACTATATGAAGTGTCTTACTATTATTCTTCTTCCTACCTTTCACCTGCTTAACTGCTTCATCTACTTACTTATTCTCAACTAGCTTTCTTATCTCTTCGTTAGCATGTTGTTTAAATTGCTTCTCTATCTTCGATGTCTCTATGTGTTCGTATGTTGTTGCTTTCTTATGAAATGATTATGGCATCAAACTGTTGTTAATAACTCTTCTTCGGTTATAGGTAGATGTCCTGCTTTGTTTTTAATATTGCCTATATCTTCATAAGGATGTTTTTGTAGAGGGTCTAATGTTGATTTCTTTGATGTTATACTTCCTTTTTCAAACATACCAACGGGGTCTTCTACTTTCCGTATTCATATGTTTTGTCCCAGTGTCTTCTGGTCGTTGTCCTGATACATAAGGAGAACCATAGCTACGACTTCTGAATACATTCCCATAATCATTGTTTATTTATTGTCCCGATGCTGAACCTAAACTGTGACTTACAATACCAGAAATTCCAGTTTCTTCTTTTCTTTAACAGTCTATTTCAATAAAACCATCTTGAATGAACTTATCTACATCTTTATAACACTGACTCAGTTGCGTCTTATATAAAAGAAGGTTTCAATCACCATAAACATCTCTACAGCTTTTAGTCCCACCAATGTATAAAATAGAACCATATTTGATATATCCCGTCAGGATTCTCATACGCTAATTTAAGTCCTTGCGTGTCCGTTAAGAATGTCTCTGTCTTTGCGAATTCGTCTCTAACTTCATCATTATGTAGTCTGCTTCTTGTGTTAGGTGCTTTATTTGAAACCCCTTCATCTCTTCTTTTATGTTCATGCATTCTACAATGGCGTAAAGGTAATATTTATCTAATCAATGAATATTGTTGAAGTTCAAGAAGGTGTATATTGGAAGCTACTATAGAGTGAATAACAGAGATTAGCAAACCACACAAAACCAAATCCAGAAACGGATTCTGTTTGTAGATTTCTGTTGTTTAAAAGTGTAGATAATCAATAGCAAGTTGTAGCTTCAGACATGGCAAGACACGAAAGTATCGTAAATACCGGTGTTTTTTCACATCAACCATATGTGCAAATAAGCACAGGTGCAGAAGGACAAGCAAGAAAAGGATACATATGGATCATGGGGGGGGGGTGTGTCCATATATATATATATATATATTTATTTATATACATATATAAATTATCTAATTAATGACGTGGGACGTACCTGAAAATGTGCAAATCTTAGACATGAAGTTGAGTGATACTCGCAAACCAAACTATCTCTGCACCAGAAGATCCAGATACCAGGCAACCCTGCAAGAGAGTTTCTCACGCGTGCGGCCCTCTGTCGTGCCTCTGTGCTGACTCCACGTAGTGGATGGCACTGGCTGGAGAAGAGAGGGGATGAAACGAAAACATGTCTCCACACCAGTACGCACTTCCGGCAGCCCTTGCGTACCAGCAGCGACGAGAATTTTGGCAGAACTTGAATCTGGGCAGCATTGACCGATCTTGCTGAATGGAGGAACTGCTTCAAGGCACACAAGTGCAAAAAAAAACTGCCCCCCGCATGAACATTGCTAGGCTAGTAAGGGTGGATGGGGATTGGCACAACGTGGGTCTCAGGATATACATTCTTGTGCTGGATCACAACTCGTCTTGCCTCGGCAACCAATGCTTATGTCCGTCCCGTCAACGCTGCCCACGAGTTGATGACTTCCCGGACGCATGTTTTGCGTGGAAGACATGAACTCGAAACCGACACCTATTGAGACCGAAAAGTCTACTGATCTATGGCCATCCTAGGACTGCGAGGGCAAAGGCCGTAGCTCATTTGCTGGCAGTTGACTCCGTGTGCTGCTCCGAATTCCTCGGGCTCCACCGATCAAACACCGCGGACACTTTCGCATGTGATACACACACACGATTCACATGTGAGCAGAACCGGATGAGATCATAGTCGTCGCATGCTGCAGCACAAGCAGTCAAGTGTCCATGATCTTCGGAGCAATTGTACGTTGCAATGCCATGAAGTCAACCACCCTTTTAGAACCTGTGCACTAAAGCCTAAACCCTAAGCCCTAAGCCCTAAACCTCAACAGCCACTGGCACCCACTCAGATCCAAGCAGCTCCCGCGTGAATGTCCTCGTCAAGAATGCCACCGGGCTGGCGGCGACGAGGCAAAGGGTGGCACTGCGAAGGCCAACGCCTCCATCCTGGAGATATCTATAGATGTTATCATGATATTTCGAAGGTCCTACAGTGATTAGATACTCTAACACATGCATATCTATATGTGTACGTCCGGAATAGGTAGTAGTGTAGAGTGTCGGGATGCCAGGCGCGCCTTCTTAGAGCACAAAGGTGCTTGGGGGGTGCTTCTCAGTCCTGTATTTCGACCGCTGGCATGATGACGTTGATCTCGCAGAGCATGCCATGGACACCCTCGGCCACCGCGCACTATATATATATATATATCTGAACACATATGTATGTATATATATATATCTTCACAATATATACATATATATATATATGTATATATGTATATGTATATATAAGTGCATCCTTACACAAACATGTAGATACAGGAAAAATTGGATGTATGATATCAGCCTCCAAGAAAAGCGGGGAGGCCGGGAGAACCGCAAGGGTGACCAGAAAGGTCAGAACCTCGGCTCGCGAAAGGTTCTTATCCAAGTCAAGTGACTACGAACCCTGAAAGAAAGTGCCTTCAAGCAGGCTTGGATACCTTCTTCTCACACAACCAGGCTAGGCTTGATGGCAGCCCTGAACTAGAGCAAACCGTCGTGCTACGTCAAAGCGCGGTCAATCGACAAGTGCAAAATGGTGACCGATGACAGTGTCATAGGACATATTACATGATGCATTGCTGGATATGCCCCAAAATCGTTTGCTTCAGTATCTTCGCAGAGCGCAGAGACGGTTGAACACGTCACTCGTCGAAAGCCGCAAGAGTTTGGGGGCTAGGGCGTTTTTGCGAGTTTTTTCCAGTCTATCGTTGAGTCTTCTGTCCGCTCTAGAGCGAACCCTGACATAATACAGCTGTCCCTAAACCTAAACAAATCCTAAACCCTAAAAGGAGGCTTAGACCCTAGAACTCTTGGCCAGGGAGCGGGCCCCGGCACTGCTTTGGCGGCTCGGCCCAAGACACCGCTAGAAAGGATGGCCTGGCGGGATGCTGTTAGTGTAGGGGTGTAAGGGTTTAGGGGTTTATGGGTTTAGGGGTTTCGGGTTTAGCGTTTGGGGTTTAGGGTGTTCCGGTATTTTGGGGTACCCTATTGGGATCCTACTATTTGGGGTCTATAGTGGGGGCCCCTTATTTTCGTAAACCCCTGGGCTAAGCCCGTTCATGAGTACTGGGAAGTAGCGCTATATCTATGGTTGTAACCTCATAAATTTAGGGTACTTCTAACCCCCGCTTAGAAGTACCCATGAACCTTCAAGTAGCCCCATAGCTTTCAAAGCCCCAACCCTAAACTGCTCTGTTGTTGCCAAACATCCCACCCACCTGCCCAGCAGTGGCCACAAACTGAAGGAGGAAGAAGCTGAGAACCTGCATTCAAGCGCATGCCCAAAGAGCTAAGGCATGCAGCATGTAATTGGGGGTTTCCTTACACAGAGTTAGGGGCCGTTGGGTCCCTAAACCCGAAACGTAAGGTGCGCATCACGATCCTTGTGTGCTTGTCTCTGCAGAGCTACGGAGCCCTCTGCATTCACAGGTCAGCTGAAACATCATCCGGGCCTTTCCGAAGACATATCTCGAGTCTCGGGTGCTCGCAGCAAGGACCAGCCACATGTACTCGTGAAACAGGCCAGACCTCTCCACCAGCTGATCGCAGCATGTCCATGTCACAGTATGCTTGGCCCGACACACATACCCTGCTTTACAACAGATTATACAGGTAGTGCTTGGAATGGTGTTGTGGAGTTCGTGCTTTGCTGCCGTATGAATGTTCTGTCACCAGCAATCTCGCTCCGGCATGGGCCTGGAATCTCTAGGTTTTCTGGGGCTCCATGGACACCCTCACCATGCACAACTGCCGAGACAAGGCTTCTTAGCGTGTCTGAGGTATCGGCATCACAAATGCCAGGAACCCACCCAGATGCTGCTGCCATGCAGGGCCACCCCGGAGTGGACCGAAGAAGCTGCGCTTCAGGAGGTTGTGGATCAGGAGGTTCCATCGCCGACCCCAGAATTCCCTCAGGGAGGTTGACAGCAGAAGAGGCGCCTTGAACACAACGCCAGTTTCCACTCCCAGTAGGGCCACCGGCATTCGATACACCAGCATGAAGAGTTCCATCATGCTGTAGACGAGCCAGGTTTGCAAATACAGAGCCGGCAGAGATCTGGGCAATCCATAGAAGGGCAGGCTGGATGGGTGCTGCTTCCCTGGCCTGGGCTCTCCCATAATATGGGGATCTATGTGTGTTTGAAGGTAGGCTGGATTCTCCAGAAGTGTAATATAGTGGAAAGTAGATAAGGCTCCCGAAGTACCCTAGGGAAAAGGAAGGCCGTTTTCGGCTTAATGCGACAGATAAAAGGGGCAGCATGGGATCCCAGTGGCAAGAAAGGCAACATGCCAGTCGCCCGGCCGATGCTGTTGATGGCCAAAAACAGCGAGGAATGCCATACAGCCCGAATGGCCAGTCCTTTGCACGCTGCGGTTCTGCTGCTCAGTCTTTTCATCTTGCCCTCCTCAAACAAGATTTCGGCGGGAGAACCTGCCACATGCAACAGGCAAACGGCTCTGCGCTGGCCTAGGTCTTGGAATGCGAAACGATTTTCAAAGCTTGTCCCACAAGTCAATAGGTCACATTGCCAATCTCAACATAAGTGTAAGGTTCTCGTATGCCACCTTAGGACGGGTGGGGCAAAATAGACTTTGGCAGTAGTAGGCGAAGGCGCAGGAATCGTTTAGGGGGATACGCCTGGTAGCGTTCCCGAAGCGGCATCTTTTTGCATTCGGGGCGGTGGGTTTAGCAATTATGGTTTTAGGGTTTTGTAGATGGGGTTCGATGCAGCCATGAGGCAAAGGTATGCCGCAAAAGTAAGGCTGCTAGCGGCAGATCCTTTTGGACCTCGTCCCAAAACGAACCTTACCATCACGGGCCATTGAGTGAAGACTGGCTCATGATGCCTCACAATTCAACTCGGCATACTGTGCACTACACCCTAAACCCTTTTTTGCAACTGGGCTTGGGGGCGAGGCAGAAACCCTAAACCCTAAACCCCAAACCCGAAACCTGAGCCCTGAATCCCCCCAAGCTCTGAAGTGCAGCCGCGCCACTCGACCCAGCGAAAAAAACCCAAGACTGCATGGTAGCTCAGGACAAAGCCCGTGAGGCGCGACCTACGACGAGTGACTGGACCTCGACCTTCCATCGGGGATCCGAAGTATGGGCCCTAACTTTGGGTCCTCATTTTTTTAACCCTTATATCCACTATGCAAAATAAGGGCCCATACTTCGGATCCCTTAAACTCCCTTTAAACAAGGATAAGGGACCATGCTAAGGGCCCATGGTTCCAACCTTAGATTATATGTCCTAGACCTGGAGGACTTTTCCTGTCCGCCTGGTCGAACCGCAATACAGGGATAACCTAGAATTATGGGGATTCAGGTTCTGTGGCTCCAAGTTCTGAAAGTCACTCAACCGCACAGTTCCGGCATTCTAAGCTACGAGCCCATGCCCAGATCCCAGGAGGAGACGTTCTGCCCATTGGCTTGTGAGACTCCGCGTCTGTAGTTCTTGCTGGGTGTTTCAGCCATGTTTCCATGTTGCAGTGGAAAACCCAATCCCAGACGAACCTGACCGGTGCTGCCGCGAGTACTGCCTGAGTTCTGATGTGGCGTTCACGGGCTCAGGTCACTCTGTCTGAAAAAACGACGACATGCGGACAAGGGCTACGAACGCCAGCACACGATCACCAGCAAGCGCAGCAGCCTTGCGGAACAGCCACCACCACCGCCATCACCATCAAGAATAGCAACAACTTCGATTCATTATCATTATGCACTTCCTGAGCCTGTTTCTGATCCTCGAAAGAGCCCTCCCCTCGTGCAGTTTGCTTCTCATCACCACCAACAATAAATCGCAAACGCGGCTTCTGCCAGAATCGTTAGCATGAATAGCCCTAAACCCTAAACCCTAAACCCTAATACCATAGCACCTGCCCGCGCTTTACCAAAGCTAATGGAACAGCTTTCAAGAGTCCACCAAACCAGCAGCAGCACCACCACGACAAATGACAATGTGACGGTGACACCAACAATACAAGCATTGATCACAATGAAGGCACCAGTCTTCATTATGTGTAGTTTTTCTTTGAGAATATGTCCCGGCCAGCCAGAATTGCAGAATTCTGGGGGGGCAGGGGGAGTTCATGTAGCACCAGAAGGGAATGGATGCATGTAGCGGACCTGTCCAAAATCTTGAGCGGCAGGAGCAAGATCTGGACCACAGAATGCACAAAAACACCACTAACCTCATGTACCCTGAAGGCCAGAATCGCATTTATCATGGCACAGTGTGTGAGAGTGTGTGTGTGTGTGAGTGAAGTGTTTTGGGTGAAATAACAACAACATGTAATTATATGCCCGCCCGTGAAGACCCCGCATTAGCTCGGGCCGTCTGCTACCATTCTTCCCTCTAGGGGCTCTACCTGAAACCCTTAAGGTTGTACCCTTGGGTTTGGAGGAACCTGTTTAAAGATCCTTAAGGTAGCATACGGGCCATATTAGGAGTAAATTGCTGTAAGAGGAATGTTTAGGGGTACAACCTCTCGGGTGCGAGTCTTCATTCCTTGATTACCTCCGACCTCGGGCCGGTTCACACCGTATGAGACAAGGGTCGAATGGGAGACCCGCCATGAGCAAACTGACCATCACGGCCAGGACACTCTTGCTGACCTCGGGTCCACATGTGCGGAACGAGCCAGAATACCTCGACTTGTTGGATAGGAAGCACACTGACACGAGGATCAGGGTGCCTTCACAAGAGTACGTGGACCTGCTTGCGCTATCAGCTATTGGTAGACATGCCTTCGCCGCACATATCATTACAAACCATTCCCCTGGCAAGATCTCCACATCATGGCAACAATGCATGCACACGTTTCTTCGAAGGCACCTTGGAGTGACCCAGCTTTGTAAAACTGAGGTGGCCAGCCAGCCCAATCAGAGCCACCGCGAACCCGAAGGCGTTGGCAAGGTTCATCTCCTTTGCTTGTCTGCTTGCACATGACATGCTCGCCTCAATACAGGCCAAAAAGATGCACCCCGAGATATGGCCAGGCGTCTGTAGAAGCAGCAACATCACCTGTGTGCAGGCGGATGCCAAGCATCTCCAGGTCGATGCTCTCCGGCAGCATGTGAGCCATGGCAATCTCTCAGAAACAGAAGGCCTTTGGCGGTATTTGCATGCTGGAACTGCAGATACTTGAGCCTCGAGACTTTTGCTGCCTACTTCGGAAGGCGTGCTCTCATTCTTGCGATGGGCCTTGAGCACTGGCACAGCCGGAAACGCTTGCAATCGCTTACAAGTACTATCCCGGCCGTGCCGTTTCTATGCTCCCTCAGCTCAACCACCTGCAGTGATTTCGCTTTCCATCACTAGAAACAGAAACTCTAAACTACTGTAAGTGGCGGGGCGCTTCCGTCGAGCGAAAGACCTCGACAGCCCGAGCGCCCATAGGGAAAGAGCGGGACGCGGACAGGTGATTCACGGCATCCGAAATTTACTCCAACACAGCGCTGGCCGAATCCTGCCAGCTCTTAACACTCTGGCATAGCTAAACAGGAGGCCACAGGATGTAATCCGAGGAAGATGAAATAAGAGTGAAGCCTAAACCCTAAAGCCCTAAACCCCCTAAAGCGCCTCAAGCCCCTTTTTGCTTCAGGGCTCCTGTGCCTCAAGCCCCTAAACCCTAAACCCTAAAGCCCTAAAGCCCTAAAGCCCTAAAGCCCTACACTCACATGAAATATATGACTTGGGTGGTCGGGGTGGGTTGACAAGCGCTTGGGCTCTCATTTAGCAAGGACAGCCTTCAAGATGACTCCTCACACACGGGAGTGGTGGGTTTAGGGTTTAGGGTTTAGGGTGTAGGGTTTAGGGTTTAGGGTTTAGGTTTTAGGGTTTAGGGTTTAGGGTGTGGCTTTGACACAGCGACACTCAAGTTGAAGCTTCCCCATCACTGGATCGGTAGTCAGCTTAGGATCCTTCTAACAGAAGTAAGCGGCTAGGGCATGCGGTTTCACATCATGAGGGTTCCTTCGCAGTCACCGGCGCCTGCAGTGGACACCCTTCTGCTGGTAGATCTGCATCCGTGTGTGCCGTGAAAGAGCTACCCCAGGGGCCAAAGGGGTCTCTAATTAACAGCTCTGAACCTAGGTCAAGGATGCAGAGCCACCTGCACTCCGGCATGCCAGCAGGCAACTCCACCGATGCACACCGACGCATCTGAATCGTGCACCCTGGATTGCGGACATCCTGCTAAAACGCACGATCTGAATTGTCTTAAGCTGTATGGCATGACTGTATGGTATCTTCCACGTAGCTGATGATTAGTTGAATCCGCAAGAACAGCTCCCTGCCAGTGCGTAGAAGCCAAAATTGACTAGAGCTTCCTCTAAGAGGAAGCTGGGCTTTTGGGACTGCTGTCCTCTGTCCGAAGACTGCATGCTGCTATACATCCCAAGCCCGCCAGGAACCTTCAAACAAACGACGCCGAATCCATGCATCATTGAGCTCACACTTGGCTTTAGCCCAGGTCGGCTCACTTGTGCCCCATTGAAGCGCGGTGCCAAGCATGAATCTCAATCACAAAGTTAGGGAGAGGTGAGGCGAGAGTGGAGGGCGAGGTAAAGGCTGCTGCCAGGGAAAGCGGCTATCCGGTTATCCAACCTGTCTAGGGGTTTAGGGCTCAGCTTGCCCCGCGCCAAACTAAAGGAAGAGAACGTCACACCACGGTGCCTTCTCGGCGTCACTCCGCTATCGCGGAAGGCTCTTCGTGGAGTTAAAGCATTAAAACAACGCAGGGGCCTACTTGGCGTCTCTGAAAAAACTTTACGGCGGCTGCCGGTGGGAGCTAGTTTTGCACAAAGATGTTGGCATCTCTTGCTGCGGCCAGTCATAGAATTCAGCCCTAAGGTCCGACTCAAAAAGGAGGAACCCAATCAGGCACCCTCCCACCTGAGCCTGACCCTACCTGGACACCGCCCTTGACAGATTCAGGTGGCGAAGAACTACGAGAGCTGCGTCGACCTTGCAGGGCAAATAAGGCTTGAGCGATTGCCTCGTCGAGGCTGGCCACAGCTCCCCACTTTAAGTATAACCTGGAACCTCTTGGCCATCCAAGACATCAGAAATCAGGTTTTCAGGACTAAGCTTGGTGGAGTTCCGCGGATCCTTGCAACTACGGGCTGCTCAGGTCTTTCCTGCAGGACGGTACCACCCCCCGTGCTTCAAGCTTGAACTCTCGGACTATGGGTGCCTTACAGTATCCTTGCAGTCGCTGAGGGCTTAGGGCCGAGAGCTTGATTGGGCATCAAGGGTCTGGGCCGGCATATCCTTTCATTGAGGAGAGCACGTGCTGCTGGACGCCCCCGGCTGTTCGTCCTGCCGCACTGAGCCAAGTGTGCTTCTACCAAAGCGGTGCAAGGGAACTCTGGACAGAAGTTTGACGATTTCGATGTGCTGAGCCGCTTTGGTAGAAGCACACCTGTAAGCTATGCGCAGCTTTCCTTGCAAATGGTGTCTCACGAGGGTGTTCAAGTTGCCCTTCAAGGTTTTCATGCAAGACTTTTTTGGGAGTGGAGGAAATGGTTGTGTGTTTGGCAGTCTCACGCTGATCTGCTGCAGCCTCCAAGGAAACAGTGAGGGGAGGTTATTTTGAAGCTTTTTCAGGCATCTCAAGTCTTTTTTGACCTGGGACTTAGCACCGGAACACGACCTTCAATTGGGGAATGTGCCTAGGACCCCTAGGGCCCCCGCATGTTGAATTAAGGCGTTTTCCTGACCTAAGGGGGTGGTCCCAAGAAGCCTTTTTGAAATATCCTGAAGTCGAGGACCCTCCAGTGGCTAAGGGCTTCAAGAACCCTAAGCCCACCATGTGCTCCAACAGCCTCCCTAAACCCTAAACCCTGAACCCTGAACCCTAAACCCTAAACCCTAAGCCCCAAGCCCTGAACCCTAAACTGACTTGCGGTCAAGGGAGGCATGTCTTCCGAGAATGTGGTGAGGATGGTGACGGAGATGCGGCAACAAAAACATGACGGCCAACTGCTGCAATAGGGCGACTGAAGCTTGTAAACTCGTCCCCTAAACCCTAAACCCCGAGCTAGGCTCGGTTTCGAAGGTTTCGGCGACCTGCTGAGGCTGTCTTGAAAGAAGAAAATGTGGCTGGGCGAAGACCTCGACTGTGTGGGTAGGGGCACTTGCCTTCAATTCTAGAGTTCCCTTGTACTCGTTTCTATCGGATGAAATACAAGCCATTTTGTGCCGTAAAAGACACACGAGACACAGTTTCGGCCTACAACACAAATGTGTACTGAAAAGGTTGAGATCTAAAAAATCCTGCGGGCTTGTGTTCTGCCATTCTTGCCATGCCACTGGCATACGCACCGTTGACCTAGTGCTTAACGTATATAAATATAAGCAAATAAATAAGCAAATAAATAAAAATATAGAGAGTGCGTCGGAATACAGGCCTGTATTTTTCGTGTCCAAAACACGTATTTTACGTGATTTTACCTTATTTTTAGTATATGTGGACAAACAACATACACAGGATGTTATAAGAACACAAGCCTGCCCAACTAAGCGCGGCAATATCATAACATCTGACGTCGCCACTCGCAGAATCTGAGGCTTGAACCTCAGTCATCAAAGCATATCCGTGCATATCTATATACCATATTATACCCACGCATGATGCTGCACTGAATCTCGAGGAATCACGTTTTTTTTTTTTCTCCTGTATGCCCCCGCGTGTGCTTTCAGACCTATAGTGAGAAGACACTTTGGATGTCCTCTGTGTATCCCGTGTGACATGCTAGCGCAACCGTGTGATCTCGTACTTCCATCTCATAAGCATATGTGTATCATGTATATCCCGGAATACCATTTGATGAGCATCGTATGATATGTAAGCCTATATGACAAGGTACGAAAACCCTCACGGCACGCATGTCGCACAGTACCTATGTACGTCTCACTTCTTCTTCATGTGATGCTTGATGACTTTCTTCGACGGCTTCCTCAAGACTCTGTGGGACGACAAAGATGCAGACGGACGCCGACAGATGTACTTCTTCGAAGCTGGACGGATGAGCACCCGAGCATTCTTGGCAGCCTTGGCACGAGCACTGAAAGGGTTCAAGTGTCGAAGGTAGTCTTTGCGGATCAAGAGGTTATGCTTCTTGACGTACAGTAGGACATAGAAGACATGCGTCAATGGATTCTTCACATTGAAGGTAGATGCGTAGCCGCGAAACCAGGAGAAGGTCTGCTCGGCAATGGACGAGTTGACATTGCGTAGGCGAAGGTCCAGGCGCCGATGGACGAGAGGAGAGCATGTACATGTGTCACCATGGGCCCTGGCATGGAAGCGGTCAATGCACCAGTACTTCACCTGGCGAAATTTCGCGTCGGACAGGAATGCCTTTTGACATACGCACATCTTGTCATAGATGACGCAGTCCAGGTTGGGAGCACGTTCCACAATGTTCTGTAGGACTTGTTTAGCGATGTCATTATTCTCTGGTGAAGCCATGTTGGTTGCCGACATCACAAGCCCTGTGGCGGGATCGATAGCCATGAACCATCCGTTTTCATGTTGTCTGATGCGGCCATCCTTGCGGGGACGACCGACGCGGGCAGGCGTGTTGCCTGGGCACTTTGCTGCGACCTTCTCGTGCCCGTCCATAACGACCTCCTTGACACGGCGCCATTCCGCTGGAGAGAATTGTTGACGCTGCCACCAATCCTTGTACTCAGAAAGGAAGGCCTCGGAGAGAGGCTGAGTTACCTCCAGGTTGAAGAGTGTGGCTGATTGGTTGCTTCTGGGATCACACCACATCTCATGCGCTTCCTGAACCACAGCATAGTACAGCTGCGCAGTCGAGTATTCACGGTGCCAGCGGTAGTGTTGCTCCGGGTCATTCCAGAGAGTATGTGACTGAGCGAACTCAATGGCATTGTGGCTGATACCTCCTCGGAACTGCAAGGCCTCGTGATAGTCCAGGAATGTGCGGTCGAAGCCGACTTTACTATTCACAAAGACGTACTTCATGTCCCCAAGAGATAGGCTGTGGTACATCTGTCCGTCTACCTTCCTGTAGTTGTAATGGTGATGTGTTCGACATGTTTTGCGAGAGCAAC